AACTGGAAAAATTTACGACTCTATCTATACTATCTACTGGCCCTAGCTGGTGATGCCAAGTTATAAGACAAGCTTAGGACAAACTGTAGGTTGTGCCTTAATCCAGTTCAGCTGCTGTGTGAAACCTGAACACACCAAGTATTTGGAGAGTATCAAACTGCTGGGAGGTTCCAGCCCTTTCAATCTCCCCAATATGGACAGCAAGGAGTGTTAATACCACTTCACAATGCCTTGGTAAGGCCACACTTGGAATACTGCATCCAGTTTTGGTCACCACGATGTAGAAAAGATGCTGAGACTCTAGAAAGAGTACAGAGAAGAGCAACAATGATGATTAGGGGACTGGAGGCTAAAACATACAAGGAACGGTTGCTGGAATTGGGTATGTCTAGTTTAATGAAGAGAAAGACGAGGGGTGACATGATAGCAGTGTTTCAGTATCTCAGGGGCTGCCCCAAAGAAGAGGGAGTCAAGCTATTCTCCAAAGCATCTGAAAGCAGCGCAAGAAGCAACGGATGGCAACTAACCAAAGAGAGAAGCAACCTAGAACTAAGGAGACATTTCCTGACAGTTAGAACAATTAATCAGTGGAACAACCTGCCTCCAGAAACTGTGAATGCTCCAACACTAGAAATTTTTAAGAAGAGACTGGACAGCCATTTGTCTGAAATGGTATAGGGTTGGACTAGATGACCTCCAGAGTCCCTTTCAACTTTTTTATTATTATTATTATTATTATTATTATTATTATTATTATTATTATTATTATTATTATTATTATTATTATTATTACTATTATTATTATTATTGCTATTATTATTGCTATTATTATTATTGCTATTATTGTTGTTGTTGTTATTATTAATTATTATTAATTATTATTATTATTATCTTCAGCAGCCATCTGGAAAAGAAAACTGTATCCAAAAACCCTCAACCATACAAAAATAATAATAATTTATTTATCCCTAAATAAGACCCAGACATCTAGTTCTGATGAGATTCCAACAAAAATGGAAGAATGCTACATCTACTGCAACCAGATTGCCCAAACAGCTGAAACACTCAAGAAGATGGTAGTTTTACCAACTTCTACCATCTTCAGTCTCAATGACAAAGTGGAATTTACTACAGGGCAGCTACAACTTGTAATGCTCAATCTAGATCTTCTAAATGTTTTTAAGTTCTTATTTCACTTAGATTTACAGACAGACTTTTGTGACTGAGGAATTGAAAACAAAAGCAATAATTTTAAAGTAGCAGCTAACTATTTTGTTAACATTTACTTATTTGGCAGGAGCACAGCATGCTAATTCTTCCATCTACAATGGAACTATGACTAGCAGCTGTCAGACTTTAAGCAAATATTAGTGCTCAAGAAATTGATTTGTGGGAAATCAGCCCCCCCAGAGAAGGAAATATTAAAAGGACAAAATATATTTCCTCAAAGGATCTTAAAGAGGCAGAAAAGCATGTCCAGTTTTTTTTAATAGCTCCAAGTCTCCCTCCCCCAAGCAGAAACCAGCTCTGTAGAAATGCAGATGTAAATAATCCAGGAAGGTTGGAGCCCTCCAGCTAGAAGCTTAGGAAGACAAAGACACCTAAAATCTACATACCCTACCCAAACTCTAAGATAGGACATAATAGGATTAACCCACAGATGCCAAAGGGGCACACTCAGACTCAGGTCAAAATACATGACACAGGAAATACAAAGTCTCAAACAGGAAATAACCTCATGAGCCCCAGAGGGTATAAAAACCCACTCCCTACATGTGCTCTCTCTTTTCTTCCAGAGCCATCTTTCTGTCTGGCTCTCCTCTTCAATAAACTGCAACCTTCTTTCTAAAGCAGTCACCATGTTGTTTATTCCCAGCTTGGACTGAACCATGATGAAAACTTTTTCTTCAACAGTTTCTTTTCATGTTTTTTGAATCAATTTGTGTCCCACGTCCATCTCATCTGGGCTACTCTATGAACGCCTAATTCAAGGGGCTTTCTTATTATATTTGCTTAAAACATCAATGTTCTCATTTGTCTGTATTTTTACCAACCATACAACTCTGTGCAAGATAAAACAAAACAAATCATGTCATAAAGAGCAAATTCTTATTCATATGAAGAATTCTACAACATTAAGGGGTTGTCTCAACATCAACTATCAAAATTGGACTTGCTTCCGTCTTACTTTGTTTCAGTGGAGTTCATCATGTTGTTTATTTCTGTCTAAACATATACTATTAAGTTTGAAAACCATAGTTTATGGCTTAGCACTGACATATGAATCAATCACTAATGTATTCAGAAAACCATGATCAAAACAAAACAAAACAAACCATAGCTTAGTATTGTGGGAAGAATCCAGAGAAAGAAATATTTTGGGAAATATTAAAAAGGCAGAATATATTTATCCAAAGGAATAATGGAGAAGATCTTAAAGGCAGAAAAGCAAGCCCGGTTTTCTTAATAGCTCCATGCAGAAACTAGGTGGAGGCCAGCCTTTAGAAATGCAAATTCAATAATCCATTCAGGAAGGTCGGGGCCAGGAAGCTAGAAGCTATGAGATTAGGAAGACAAACACCTCTAAAATCTATATACCCCACCCAAACTCTAAAAGACATGACCTTTGGGGACATAATAGGATTAACCCACCAATACCAAAAGGGCACACTCAAGACTCAGGTCAAAGTACATGACACAGGAAATACAAAGCCTCAAACAGGAAACAACCTCAAAAGCCCCAGAAGGTATAAAAACCCACCACACCCAGCAACATGTGGTCAGCTTTCCCAGAGCCATGTTTCTTTCTGGCTCTGCTCTTCAATAAACTCCATAAACTTCTTTCTAAAGCAGTCTCCCTTTTGTTTATTCCCAGCTTGGACTGGACCCAGATGAAGAATTTTCTTTCGATAGTATAATGTATAATCCCAATTTCTCTCTCTCTCTCTCTTTCTCACACATACACACACACTAGAGTTACAAGTTATCACAGTCATCTAATTAATATTGATCATCTAAAGCTTCTTCATCTTCTAGAATAAGATATTCACTTTTCCAACAAGGCAGCAAAATATAAGAATTCTGAATATGCACAGGACCTCTAATAACTAAGACCTGCTTCATATTTTATGAAGCATCAAGGTTCTTTTCAACATTTTGTAGGGAAACAGATGATTTATTTTAACTTAGTATTACTTTACTTTACTACTTTATTACAATTACTTTTACAGTATTATTTCTATTTTCAATTTTAAAGTTAAATGCAGAGTATTAATTTACCTATTATTTTAGTACCAATGCCTTATTTTTCTTAGTGTTAAGAGGAGACATGTTCATTCTCCTACAAAAAAAAATCCACCAATATTTTATCACAGCAGATGAAATCATTGTTTCTGCATATTCACAGTTGGCTTCACTTACTTTATTTTAAAGGATTGGCTTTATTTTTGCATATTTATGGTAAGGAGCTGAAGCATGAAAAAGGTGATACAGATATTTTTAATAAGGCCAAAAAGAAATGGAATCCAAAGGAATCTGGTATTCTTTTCCAACTTTTCTTTTCTAACTAGCAAGTTTTACTATAAGGCATAAGGTCATAACCTTCATCTGTCTGCTACCATAGATTCTCCTCCTACAAAGAAACCAGGAAGAAGATATTACTGTACGCAGAACAGAGTGGCTCCCCACCCTGGCCATAAACTATTTCCTCTATTACTGCCATTGCTGTCTGTGTATATTTTCCTTATTGCAAGAGCTACATGTTATATCATTTAGAAAAAAAACCTTAGGAACTCCGCAGTGGGTTCCATCTCATATTCAAATCCATTAAGAATGTGATTGACACAAAATACATTAAATCTCATCGGATGAAAGCCCCTGATAATTACTAAAACTTGCTTTGAGTTCATAAATATTTTTTTTGCAAGTCACAATACAGGTCAGTACAGGTTTACTTCCTTTCTTTAAGCAATCGGCAGCACTTTCTTCCAATCCAGAACCGCTCCCTTGTAAACCTTTCATTCCTAATAAAACAGTAGTGTTTCTGCAAAGCCTGCTTATTACCCTTTGCCTACAACACTGAGAAAATTGAAAATTAAAATTAAAATAATGAACAAAACTTGGCCCCGCACCCTGAACCGAAGCCTGCAGGTCCTAGAGGCAGGAAATGTTTCTCAACCTTGGCCACTTGAAGAGGTATGGACTTCAACTCCCAGAATTCCCCAGCCAGCACAGCTGGCTGGGGAATTCTGGGAGTTGAAGTCCATACCTCTTCAAGTGGCCAAGGTTGAGAAACACTGCGTTAGAGGACTATTTTAGTTTTCTGAGACAACTTCAGGTAATCACTACAGCTGCGGAAGAGGTCTAATTTTACCCATTTTATTTTTGTATCAAACGATCTCCATCCGGAGCCACGTCACCGCTGTTGGTCGCTTTTATTTCGGGGCCCTTTTGTGGGAATCGCCACTTTAATACCCCGAGCGCATCACAGAAGCCAGCCTAAGGAGGTGACCCCCAAAATTGAGGCACGTGCCGAGCCACACTTCGGGGCGCCGCTCCCGCTCGGCATCAGAGAAGTTATCGTTAGGGGAGGGGGGGGCACTACAACCTGCCCTCGGCGAATACCGGCAGGCGGCCCCCCCTCCCCATATACGCCGATTCCGCCCGCAAGGAGGGCAACCTTAGGCCCTCCTGAATCCTCAGTCCCTCGTGGACGATCCGCTCGGCAAGTTCCGCCCTGGGCGGGAAGGGAGGGAACCGTGACGGCGGCGTTACGCATCGCCGCTCTTGACACCTACATCCCCCGGTTCAAGGACACTGCAGCGGGCCGGTTCTTTCGGCTGCTCCGTCCCGCGCCGAGCCGAGCCGCCCCGGCCAAGCGACGGAGCCCATTCCCGAGACGGAGCCCGTTCCCAGCCAAGCCAGGTGCCGCGCGCGCGAGGAGCCTTCCCACGAAGCGCCGTTCCGCGGCATTCCCGCCGCAGGCCGCGGGGGCTCCTTACCTTTTTGACCTGGTCATCTTTTAATTCGGTGAAATAATAAGCCAGCAGCTGAGCAGCGATCATCCTGCAATCTGATGGGGGGGGGGGTCCCAGGCGGCTTCGCCGGACAGAAGCCCCGAGAGAGAGAGAGAAAGGCAAACCCAGAAGCTGGGCGCGGGGGGATGGAGAAGGAGGCGCGCCGCTTCCCGGCTCTCTGACCACGAGAAGGGGAAGAAAAAAAGACCACAGCGGTCCCGTCCTCGACCCCGCCGGGGAAAAAAAACACACAACGACGCTCCTTTCTCTGCCTTTCCTCCACGCGAGAGTGACTAAGTGGAAAACCTGCCCCCTTCCTGCGCTGCCATTGGCTGAGCCGGGCGAGATGGCCAGGCAGGGCTGGCAAAGAAAGCTCGCCGGCTGGCGGACCCCCGTCGCCTCCTTCTCTCAGCAGGAAGGGGAGGAGGGCCCTCGGGCCATCCCCGAAAAGGCATCCCTTCCCGCACGTCCCGCACGTCCGCTAGCCTTCCCGAGGCAGCCGGAGATCTTGCCTCGACCTCCCTAGGGAGGAGGGCATTAAGCCGCGAGGCTGAGGCGGTTCTCGCTCTCCTGCGCCCTTCCCGCTCCGGAAGGAGCCAGGCCCGCGCGTAAAAACGCTTCTCCTTGAACTCGCCAAGGAAGGGGGGGGTGTAAAAAAACACACCCCGGCGCGTTTCTGGATGGTTGCACAGACCCGGTGGGTCAAAAAAAAAATGCGGGACGCCTTTGGGAAGAGGGAAAAACGTGCCAAAACGGACCGTCCCGACCCTGGGGAGGATCCGAGGTGATCTCTTGCTTTGGGTGGGGATCCTTGGCGCGCGCTTTGGATCCCAGGCCAGGGGGGCACGGCGAGTGGTAGGGAGAAGCAGGGGAAATCGCTGTGTGAGACGTCTTGGGAGCCGGAGTAGAAATCTAATAAATAAATAAATAAATCTAATAAAAATCTAAAATTTTGCCCACAGGTAATAAGCTACCTCTGTAAAGATGCGGACCTATCCACTTCTTATTCCATTTTCATCCCACCATTTGAGGCATACGTGCACCGGATTTCTACCCACAACTGCTTTGAATCGGATATAAATCTGCTGTGTCATAGCAGCGATACTGATCTGTGTATTTCTAGGAGTCTGGTAGCATCTTTTCTGGCTAACACGGTTTATTAAAAGGCATGATCTTTCCTGAGTAGCAACTCCTGGTAGCTTATGTCTTTTAACATAAAGTCAGAAAAGGTGCTACCCCGGTGCCTGTTTGTTTTTTTTTAACCACAGTAGACTTAACATCTCTCCCTTTACTCTTCCTGTAAGAGAGGATTTCTTAGCCCTGAGCTAAACAAAATGAGTTGTGATTTTGCATTTGTTTTCTCACTCCAACTTAAGATGCACCGTTGACTTTCCATTGTGTTGCATGAAGGCTGTGCAACTTATTTTTCCCAGTTTGATTTGGTTTTGAAAACCAAGAAACTGCATCCTTAGAGCTTCTGAAGAAATGTATTTTTGCTCTAATCGTCCCCACTGCCACGGCTGGGTGGGGAAAATCACAATCTGCTGTCTCTCCCACAAATGAGCATGGATCAATGTGTACCAAAGTGCCGCCATTCCTGCCACAGAGGATCACTGCTCTCTGTTTTGCTTTAGCATTACTGTGCACGATTTGAACAACAATTTTTAAAAGACACTGAAGACACCTAAGAATTTAGTGGGATGAGCATCCACTACAGTTGAATTTTCTGATCTTTTGTCTTTGCAACAGCATTTAGGATTGAGTTGGCAGAAATTACATTAATCATGAGCTTTCTGTTTTTGAATTTTGTTGCTACTGTATAAAAGACTAGTTTTTAAGGCTGGAACATTTAATATAGGGGTGACATATCCTATTTTTTTCCTTGGATTTACTTAGGTATTTGTATTGATCACTTTTGATATGATCAAATGACTAAATCAATAAAGTTTCTATTCGATTCATCTATGGAGATACATTCAAGAGCAGCACACCTTATTTCTCAGGCAACAGCCAGTATTGCCGGACACAAGTGTTTTCTTTAATGATGTAGTTAATGTTTAATAGCTGCTGGACCACATTCCTTTGCTCCTTTCTCTCCTAAGAGGACCAACTGCCAGCAAAGAAGGAACAAGGTAATTGCCATTCAGGTTCTAAAGAGTAAGAGAAGAAAGCCTAATGAAAAAGAGAATGGTACCATTTCAGGTTGCCAATAGAAGCTCAAATGACAAAAAACATTCCCCCATATGAATAAGAGACATACCCTCCCCTTCCGAGACTCTTAAGACATTTCCTAGATATTTTGAGACAAACCAGGCACAAGGTTAGCTTCTGTGGGAAGTCACCCCCCACCAGAAAAGGAAATAATAAAAGGGCAGAATATTATATTTCCTCAAAGGAACTTAAAGAGGCAGAAAAGCATGCCCAGTTTTTCTTAATAGCCCCAAGTCTCCCTCCCCCAAGCAGAAACCAACTCTAGAAATGCAGATGTAATAATCCATTCAGGAAGGTTGGAGCCCTCCAGCTAGAAGCTTAGGAAGACAAAGACACCTAAAATCTACATACCCCACACATATCTCAGCTATAAAACACGTGACTTGTGTAGAAAACAAGATTCAGTCATGGCTCTGTGACTGCCATATTGACTTTTTTTTAAATCTCTCCCACTGTAGATACTCCTGTTTGTAGAAGTAGTTTGCAGTGTGTCTGAGATGAAAATGTCAGTTAAAGATACTACTATTATTGCCTGGGAAAATATATTTTATAGTTCATGATTTTGCTTTTGTTCTCTATCAATACAGATCTAAAGGTTTTGGGTTTTTTTTTATTAAAAGTTTTATGGAAATTACAGTATAAACCCCCATACCCACCCCCAAACCCCTCCCTCCCCCTCCCCCACTTCCCAGCTGAACACAGGGTTACAAATATAATAATCAAAATCTATCTAACATTAACCAACTATTAAAATAACCAAATCCATAATGCGCTTTAACTCCCCTTTAACATAAATCTAAACAAATTAAAATTAAACACAATAATAAACCTATTCATAACCTAAATATTAAACAATACAATACTAATATTAAAAATAATAATATAATATAATTAAAACTAACAAAAATTCCATTAAAATAAACAATACTCTAAAATTTACTCATAACCCAAATGAAACTTTTTAGTCCTATATTTATTCTGAATATAATCTATCCATCTTCTCCAGACAGATGTATCTTTCTTGTGATTGATCCTTCAAATAAGCGGAAATTTTAGCCATTTCTGCTAAATTTGACACTTTTAGCGTCCATTTTTCTATAGTAGGCAAAGAATCCTTCTTCCAAAATTGGGCTACCAATAATCTTGCGGTTGTTATAAGATTCAACATCAAATTCATTTCTTTAACATCCAAATCTTCCATAATGCCTAACAAAAATAACTGCGGTGTAAACTTTATCTTTTTCTTAAAAATATTTTGAATATTCCACCAAATCTTAATCCAAAATGCAATACAGATCTAAAGGTTTTGATGGGACTCAGGTCCTGGTTAGCTTTATGGCTGCCCCAGATGGGATACACGTTGGCCAGGAGGTCATGCTATGGTTTCCCCATGCAAGATATTAGAGTTGAGGCTAAGAAGCCAGACCTTCTCAGTTGCATCTCCTCTTTCTGCAGCAAACTGTTCCCCTCTGTTAGAATAGAACAGGGCTCTTCAAATTTGGCCCTTTTATGACTTGTGGACTTCAACTCCCAGAATTTCTCAGCCAGACACGCATTATTAACCTTCAGCAGGGGTGCAAAACCATTCTTTTCTGAAGAGGTTTTTCAGCAGAGGGTTTCTTGGTGTGGAGCTTATTTCAGTAGTGATTCGCCTTTGGTTATCAATGTGTTTATTAGGTTATAGTACAAATAGTCCTCAACTTATGACCATTCATTTAGCAATCGGTTATGATAGTGCTGAAAAAAGTTACAACCGGTCCTCGCATTTAAGACCATCACATATTCACAAGGTCGTATGATTGGGATTCAGCACTTTGCAAGAAGCATGTATTTACAATGGTTGCAGCATCCCAGGTTCACGTGATCACCATTTGCAACTTTCTCAGCTGGGTTCCAACAAACAAAGTCAATGGGGAAGTCAAATTCTCTTAACATCCATGGTAAAAAAAAAAAAAGATTGTAAAATTGGGCACAGTCACAGGACAACTCACTTAATCATCACTCAGTGAGCCAAGTTCCACTTCCAGCTATGGTACTAAATCAAGGTCTAACTGTATTATTATATGTTTTATAGTTTAATGAATTCTAAACCTCTGGCAGCTGAAGATAAAGGGGCATACAAATAACTGCAGATGTTTATAAATAACTAAATAGGTCAGCCAGAGAAAGTCTTGTATTATTGGCCAGATTAGGTCACGCCCTATATCAGGGGTCTTCAAACTTGGCCCTTTTATGACTTGTGGACTTCAATTCCCAGAATTCCTCAGCCAGGCACGCTGGCTGAGGAATTCTGTGGTTCAAGTCCACAAGTCATAAAAGGGCCAAGTTTGAAGACCCCTGTCTTATGCTGAAGCTGTTTTCCTTCACAGGCACATAAGGAGGTTGCTTACATTCTGACAGTAGATCTGTACAAAAAAACCCATTATTTTTCCCAATCTGATGCCCTCCAGATGTACAGGGCATTCATTTCCATGATTGCAGGTAGGCATTAGAAATATTGAATTTCCATACATTCAGAAAACATCTGGTATATTCTGAAAATATACTTGGTGAAAGTCTTGTGTCTTCAGCCACAGGACCTCATTCAGATGGAGTATTTAGGATTTCCTCTTCCAGCTGTGGATTCAGTCGACTTTGGGCAGGAAGGAAGGGTGGGACTAAAAGTAAAACACATTTAGGACCAAACTTTGAATGATGTAAAGTGTAAACATCCACAACTGATTCTTTAAAAGCAAAGGTCTCTGCACAACACTGAAGTGGACTGGAAGAAGATTTCTCCGAAACTGTTTTCTTCTTTCATTTTAAATCAGGCGGGCTGGGAGATTCTGGGAGCTGGTTGCCACACCTCAAAG